GCGTTTTCTTTGCTTTTGAGTGGACTAATAATGTAATTAAGATATTATACAAGAAGCTTAAAAAGGTATTCACTCACAGGGTTCCGTAAATTTTACGGCTACGAATGCGCCGCTTTCCAAGCTGTCTAACTCAGCTCTGCACTTCCACACTGAAAAGTGCGAATGCGGCTCTGTCTGAGAGCGATTTCAAGATACTTGGTTACACTTTTAGTGATTCGGATTAATGAATTTAGGAATACCAGCATTTTTTAAGCGGGAAACATGTGTTACTAAATCTTTCAGTTTTTATTCTCTTGAAATTGTAAGTCGCTAGGTTTTCATGTTCCGTTGTCGTTTTCTCGCCACTAAGTTTTTTTTATATGGCTACGGTGTATTTTTCAGTCTTCACTGCTGATTGTACCTGTACTCTGTAAATTTTTTAAGCTTATGATGGGGTTGGTCTCCGAAACCTTTTCAATGAAGATATAATAAATCTAGGTACTTGGCGTTTTCTTTGCTTTTGAGTGGACTAATAATGTAATTAAGATATTATAAAAGAAGCTTAAAAAGGTATTCACTCACAGGGTTCCGTAAATTTTACGGCTAATTTAATTTAATGACGCAACGCTACTTATTGTCATTACTTGGTATTTTATGCATTCAATGCACATTTATCGAATTTTTAGTATCAAGGATAAATTAGGATGGAAATAATGATACGCGCTATAGGAAGCTGTTGTAATGGAAGAATGCAGATAGGTGCTTAACGCCCCAGAAGGAGCATAATAATTATGACGTCAGTATTTCTGTAGCTTCCAACTTATTCTGACGAGACTCGAAATTGCACTCGTTTCCTACATTACGCTATCGCTGAAAAATTTGGCAAACTATGTAAAAATTGTCCCAGAACCTAAACGCAAAATAAATAGAAACGGTACACATTAAATTAAAATTTTTTTAAATCAAGGTGTTAGAATAAACTGAACAGAATATAGCAGCCAATTGAAACGACATTAATAATTACACAATTTGACCCTAAGACATCGGGAGAAAACAGACTGAACTGTTAGCAAAATGTGCATTCAAGAGCGAAAGTAGTCCGTTTCAAGTTCTACCAGCACCTAAAACTGAGGACGAAATTTGTGAAGATTGGTTGATATGGCGAGCAAGCAAGCTCTTCGGCCCGATTTTTTGCCTTGATCTGTAACGCCAGAAAATGGAACCGTCGTCTCGAAGTTAAGGGAATCTATGATCATTTAGACGTATTCACAGAAAAAAAGTAAAATTATTTTTGCAATATATCAAGTGAAGAGTTTTCAAACAACCAAATCATATCTGAAAAAGTTTGTTCTGTGCGGGAACCACGGTTAACTTTTCATCTTTCTGGAGTCGCCACGCACTTTAAATGGACAAGAGAGCACCAGTTAGTAATAGAATTATGGAAATAAATCCTGGTACCAGGGGTAGTCGAATGAAAATTAAACTAACATATACACCAATAAGACAAAACAAAAATAAAGATCTAATTAGAAAAAATCACCATTTACAAGAGGAAAACCCTCAACTGAAAACAGGCGCTATCACCGCCTCTACGCGTGACAATACACGGTATTGTTAGCTAGAACGCTTGGAAGATTAAAAGAAGCCACAAGAGGCTACTTGCTAGACTCCCTACTTATCACTCCAGTGCTGTAGCTCGCTTATGATCCTCTTCCTCAGTGGACTCTTGAAGAGTTTTCTCCTGCCTGATACGGAGCTGTGATGTGACATGAGGTCTTCTATCCACGCAATGATATACCTGAAGTTAGAGCGAATAAGGTCTCTGATGTTGGTAGTAACCCTGCCTTCCATTGACAGATGCGAAGCGAATATTTTGTCATTACTATATTAGGCAGATGCGTGTAAGCTATTTCTCAAGTCGCAAGCACCCAATTACTGAGTAGCTACCAGTAATTTGAAGGTCATGAGAAGCGATCAATAAAAAATTCACTCGAAACAGTGGACATGCCGTTTGGCGATTCACTTCAGAAGGGAAGAAGACACAGAAAACAAAAATAAAGATCTAATTAGAAAAATCACCATTTACACGAGGAAAACCCTCAACTGAAAACAGGCGCAATCACCGCCTCTACGCGTGACAATACACGGTATTGTTAGCTAGAACGCTTGGAAGATTAAAAGAAGCCACAAGAGGCTACTTGCTAGACTCCCTACTTATCACTCCAGTGCTGTAGCTCGCTTATGATCCTCTTCCTCAGTGGACTCTTGAAGAGTTTTCTCCTGCCTGATACGGAGCTGTGATGTGACATGAAGTCTTCTATCCACGCAATGATATACCTGAAGTTAGAGCGAATAAGGTCTCTGATGTTGGTAGTAACCCTGCCTTCCATTGACAGATGCGAAGCGAATATTTTGTCATTACTATATTAGGCAGATGCGTGTAAGCTATTTCTCAAGTCGCAAGCACCCAATTACTGAGTAGCTACCAGTAATTTGAAGTTCCTGAGAAGCGATCAATAAAAAATTCACTCGAAACAGTGGACATGCCGTTTGGCGATTCACTTCAGAAGGGAAGAAGACACAGCAGCGAGCTGACACTGAAGTTATACAGAAAACACAGGACACTTTTCAAGTTACTTTTTCAGATATGGAGTGAAGCAGGTCTGCTTTCACAAGACTTCACTCAAGTGGACGACAGTTGGACACTCATTACACCAAAGTTAAGCACTCAGCTTGTGAAGCACCAGTAGGCAGATCTAGGGATACACAAACCTTACACGTCAGCAACTTGAGCTGAAGTCAGCGGCAGTTAACTGCTACATCGTCCAAGCCTCATGCTCACAGGCGGCACAAGCGTTCTCAATGAACTAAGACAAATGCGAGAACAACGGTGATGGCAGCTGATACAACTTACACCTCCAACAGAGATAATTTCTATAATGAAATCCAATGGAATATACTACAACATTTCCATAAATCTAATTTGTGCCACGACAATGCTTAAGCAGTAATGACGGTAAAATATAAATGTGTGGCTGTTGTGTAGCGCGCAGCCATAACACTGCGCCGTGGTGCATCCAACGCGACGCTCTTGGCACATTGCTACTTCTCAACGGCGGCCTCTAAATCTTACTCCACTGCCGAAAATTTTAAAAGTTAAATGAAAGTGAAATCAATATTCACTGTCAATACTTCAACATTAATTTATCTAATAATATTTATCGATCAATATCCATCAATATCGATACATCATTATTTTTTTATTATCTCCAAAATAATAAATATCGATGAGTTATTAAAAATGCAAAGGACTATAAACGAAGACCCGCGCAAATAATGGATGGGTTGGTCGTAAAGGAGCCCGAGTTAGGAGTCAGACATGAGAACGTAGCAACTTTGAGGCCCTCAGCTCACAACAGATCAACGGTCAGGGAAAGTATACGGTATAGTTCGCCATTGTTGGAAAGATCCCGGGTCCTTAAAACTTCCTAAACCTATGTTACATTCAAGGATGGTATCGCATCAATGACACTGACGTAGAAGACATATATAAAACGTTAATATCGTATAGATAGCAACATTAAAAAAAAGAGCTATTTCCTTAAAGTACGAGCGAGAGACTTAGATAGACCAAATATTGTTTCCAAGATATCACACATAATACGGAAAAAATAAAGCCTTTCTGGTCGTAGGTGATTCTGGTAACATGGATCACATGGGACGTAAGAGGTCTCTTGTTTGTGTCCCAGCACGATTGGCAGGGGCAGGAAAACTGGACAAGAAACACATTTCACTCTCTTCTTCATGGCATTGGCCAAGCAGTTGCGTTAGAAAACAAAAGGCCACAACGAAGATCAAAGAACAACACAGCTAATAAAGTACAATACTAGACAGTATTTCAGTCGAATACAAGACGGCTGGCAAGTGACTAATAAGTCTATACTTTCATTCGCAATCCGAAAGAATCATGCTGCCCAAAATATCCAACGCAGGACTCTAAGCCGCACGGTCAAGTTAGCAACTTATCAGTAGGGTACCGTATAATTTACTGTGAGTCTTTCATTTTAAATGAAAATTCATCACTCATAGTCAATTCAGAATAGTACCGCTTGGAAAAACTAGATCGTTCTCAGAACGGTCATCTTGTTCACAACACAATCAAAGTTATCTAAAACAATTGGGCGTCCCTAAGATGCAGTAACCGCTAGGTTGTGTTATGTGACTGTGAACTGAAGTGCATGCCTCGCTGACCCTGAGGCTGCAGAGGTAGTGATGGTTGACCCACACCAGAAGGCAGTGACGTCATTGGTGCCACTAGATTTCTCATTGTACCATCTCCCTCCATCGTCGAGGTCTGCGGGTTCATATATTCTCGCAGCCGTGAGTGTTCGTGTGGCATTGCCATGGTTGAGGAGAAAGGAACTGAAGAAGCCGGGACTTCATTAGGAGAAGGCACGCGAAGAGGGAGAGGGACGGACTGTCGAGCGCCAATGTGAGCGTGGCACATCGTAGAGTCCAGAGGCGGTGCTGCCACAGAGCGCGGAAGGAGGGATGACATTTGCTGTGACGACAACCCAATGGACGTTTGTAGATCTCCAGAAGAGTTCGAGGCAGATGCAGAGAAGCCAAGGATAGAAGAACAAATTTTGTGCACATCGGTCTCATTAGGATGCTTCGCTAGTGCGGCCAGAACGATTTCCTCATCAAACAAATTAATTAGATGATAATACAGGCGAGATCGTTCTTCTTGTTGACCGGAGGACTTTGGAGGCGGAAACGATGTGTTCATCAGGGGCGCCATGCTGGATTGGTGGGCGGGATGGCTCCTGGACTGCTGCAGCAGAGCTGGCTGCTGGGGAGACAAGGGACGTGAGCCCACAGGTGCCTGAGCTAAGGCATTTGGGGCAGCCGCAAGGCTGTGATGAGATGCAAAGAAGGGAGGCCGGCACTGCGAAGCTTCATCGTAAGGTTCGGACAAGTAATGAGGTGACTCAGTACTGCCATAAAGATTCAAATGAGGATCAGATGTCGAGTTGNGCATTACTGCAGGTGCTGGTGCTCCCAACAATGGGGTCAGGAGCGGAGGAGAAGCGGGCGACGTGAGGATGGGCTCCTTGCTGTTGCTGCTGCTGATGATGACGGTACAAATGGGACGGTAAAGGTGATTGGTTGACAGAAAACACAGGTCCCATTTGGCTCTGCGGCGTTTGTTGCAGCAAATTTTGTTCGGGAATGAAAGGAGAAAAAGACTGCAACGGGTTCTGATATTGATGCTGAGATATCAAATGCTGGTTGCTAGCCATATTCATAGTTTGTAGCTGCTGCTGATACTGAGGAGGCATACTCTGCAATCCTCCGAAATGACCAGCCATGGGTACAGATTTCTGTTGACTTGCTTCTTTGTTAATCTTGGCCAGTCGATGGTCATTAGACGGATTGAGTGTGAGTTGACGGCGCAGTTTTTGATGCGTGTTGTCACAGGAAGAAGCGCTGTCGGTGTCGGATGGCTGCCGCTCTGCCATGGCAAGTTCACTGAAGTGACTTGTCTCACACGCGTCCTGAGGTCGCGGCGGCTGGTAGCCCCATCCTCCTGCAGCAGCAACTTGCTGGTATGATTGCATTCGCTGCACTGCAGTATGAGACGACGACTGCTGGTGCGGGCCTGATGGCTGATGATGCAAGTGTTGATGTTGCACAGTATGCGCTTGGGATGCAAACGAGGGATGAAGACAAGAATCGCTTGAAAACATTTGATTTTTGAAGACGTCGTGAGGAAGAGATTGTTGCAAGCTACTTTGGTCGTAAGAAGGCTGAGCTGAGAGCATCGGGTGTTGCTGCTGCATGAGCAAAGGCGCCGCAGTAGTAGCGGGGGCAGGGGAAGACGGAACGCCTTGATGAGCAGTAGCAGGAGCAGCAGAGGTGGTGGTGGGGGTGGAGGCATCAGAAAAACGCGAGTCGTGCCCTGGTGCGTCGTGCGGCACCGGCGGTGTCGGTAAACAAGCGGTCGTGGAGGAAAGCGAGGAGCCACCGTGCGAAGAAGGAGTTCGGCTCAGAGGCTTCTTCCCACTTCCTGGAGGACCGCGCTCTGCAGCTTGCGAATTGTTTGCACGCGAACTTTCACCTGAAAATTGAGTAAGAATAAATATATAGAGCTTCAACTCGAGACGTTTCGTTTATAGGAAAACATGAATTCAAGTAAGAGAATAACTCGAAAGACTAATTTTCTTAAATATCAGATAGGGAGATATAAACACCACAATGATGTATTGTGTACTGCATGATGACATTTGACATCTCTGAAATGTCTACCTTTTCTATACAAATATACAATATCACACACCTAATGTAGTGAAACGCATTAGGTTTTGAAAACGCTAAGGATTTAATGAGCTGTAAGCCACTGACCAGGAGACGAGTCTCTGCTCTTAGTAGCCTTGTCCAAATAATGCTTCTCCCTTTGCTCCTGCAGTCGCTCCGTGACGCTCTTGATGGGCTGAGTGCCTCGTTCAGGATGCTGGTACTTGCACTTGTTACCATAGGTACACTTCTTGCCGTAAGGACAGAGCCCCAAGTCTCGCGCCTGTGGGTTAGAATGAGTAGACACAGGACGCCTCAAGAAGGCGTCGAGTGTCGGGCCGTTACGCCCTAGTGGGTCGTCTGGTGGAACAAAGCGCCCGTTCACCCACGAGTACATCAGCAGCGCCTCCTCCACCACTCGCCGAAACGTTGACGACTCAGCAGCCAGGTCACGGAAGTTGTCGTTGCTCACTACAACTCCTCCAGATAGAACCGCTTCGTTTAGGATGTACCTGTAGTAAAGTTCATTGGTCATGACAAATTGAAGAAAAATAAATGAATAAAAGCGAAGGCCGAGAGGAACTTTATCGTTGTAAGGAAAAGGGATATATTAAGTGATAATTTATGACAAGAGCGGTGATGTCGTAGATATGTCGAGATATTTCATCATTAGTATAATAACACTTAACTGAAAAAAACCAAAAAAAAGGTATAGTACGCATTATACACGCAGAAACGAGACTAAAATGAGATGAAAAAACTCGAGTTATTGTACAAACGTACCTGTCGTCATACGGGATGATCCTGCGCCCGCTCGTGTGGCCAGTTCTGCTGGGAGTGAAGACAAGGACCTTTTGCTGTTCCAGCTCCTCCAAAACCTGCTGGTCAGTAATCTTGGCGTCCCATCGAGAGAATTCCTTGCGCCACGCGGGAACGAACACCAGAATTTCTTTATGGCCGCGTTCCCGAAACCATTCAACGCATACGCTCAGACCTCGGCACGAGAAGACGTTCTTGTTGCCGTGGCTGTCAATTTGAAGAAAGAACAGATGTGAAACAGTGCAAGCAGTGTAACCTATTCAATGGATAATCTTTAATTTTTATAGGTTCAATCACGATACCTTAAAGCACTGCTTTGAGAGAAGAGATCCGGCACGATTTGTAGTGGATTAGATGAAAAAAAAAACGTTATCGTTTAGATGAAATCGCATAACTTCTGTCGCTAAAAAATAGCATTGAATATTGACGAAACTTACCTCATAGCAACGTTACTTCCATCAATAATGATGGGTCTCAGTGCCAGCGATGGGTCCGTCTCTTTAGCGTCGTCTCCTTCAGCAGGAGTGGCCAGAGGACCTTCTAGTTCACTTTCGGACTTGGGCATGACAGCGCCGAGTCGAATGAGTTCATCCAGCAGCTCATTTTTGGCTGGTTTTCCACCTAGTTTCTTCAACGCCAATTGCACCAGACTTTCGCTATAGCCGAGCTTGATACCGAACTCTACTTGCTGTCCATAAATGCTACTTTCGCTACCACTCCAAGTTTTGCCAATGCTTGTCGAGATGCTTGTAGAAGTGGGTGCAGAACCTGCTTGTGATGTCACGGCAGTGCTAGCAGAGCGAGCTAAACTTTGCGTTGCAGGGGCTGACGAGGGGCGTGAAGACAAGGATGATACTACAGAGGTATGGGGTCTGATCGTAACTGAAGAACTACCAGTATTGATACCACCCTTGCTTGACAAAACGGAATGGCTTGGCAACGATGACGTGGAAGTTAGGAGAGACTTCGCCGTTGTAGTCTCAGGTTTAGATTCACTGGGCTGCGTTCGAGCAACACTCTCACTTTTATCAACACATACAAGAGCATTAGATGCCCCAACAGTAGTAATAACAGGAACATCTTTGGCAGTGCTCTCAGAACAGGAAAATAAGTCCATAGCAGCACTGCTACCACCAGTGGGAACAGAGAAAGAAGACGCGACAAAAACGGGTGAAGAACAAGACGTGGTTGAGGTAACCTCATCACTGGTAACGATTGTCTTACTGGTTGCAGTGGGGAGCACGGGAGTGGTGCTCGTATTTGGTTGCATGGTAACATATTCAGCGAACTCGGCCGCTAGAGTGTCCGACACGGTTCTTGAGACGTCCTCGTGTTGCTCCTCTCCCAAGGGCGCCTCGTCGGGACCTGAGGCAGTCGAGGCAGGTCCCAAAACCTCGCTCGACTCGAAGTCGCTGTCATAGCTGCTATCCTCATTTCTGAGAGCGCGGCGCGACTGCAACACTCCTGATTGCGCATCTTCCCGGGTAGGTGAGGCAGGGTTAGAAGAGCAAGGCGAACACGAGGCTTGAGTGCCGAAAAACGGCTTGCTCTTGATGGTTGGGCCAGCCTTGCCAGACTCGTCGCCTTGAAGACGCTTGAGCAGCGCGTGATCCCGGGGAGCGTCGGGCGGGCAGGACATGGCGCTGCAGTGTCGCCCCACAAGAGACGAGTCTAACCCGCCACGAGCGGACACATCCTGCGCATAAAAAAGACGCTTCAAGTAGAATACATTTGTGTTAATTGTATCATGACACGTTTGTCCCTTTGGAAAGGTCCATTTATCATCCAAGACATATGCAAATAACGTGCCTTGAATTACATCGTGGAGTTTATGAAATCGAAACGATTCCTCCAGCAAAATAAGCAGGTTCAGCAAAAAATGTGAATTACAAAAATGAATTAGATATATGAAATAGATAGATTAACCACCCATGAGTCCAAACTATGCGATCAAGATAGTGAAGTTTACTAATTTTGGCATTGACAATCGAATCATAAACCAGTTCATCACTCACTATTTCCTTTTTTACTGTAAATTGACAACCTTTACCCAATACAAGTAAAGTTGGATAACATTTGTTGCTCAGAATACACGATTGTTAGAAACACGAGCATCAAATCGTGGATAATCACATTTAAGTCAGCAATGAACATTGATGAGAGTTCCCATGCAGGGTGCCATAACCTGGACGCACCTTGCGACCAACCGCCAGAAGGAAGCGAACACTTGTTGCTTCACAAGAATTAAGATAATAACAGGAAGTATCGTCGGTACATTAAAAACATAACTTGATTATTCAACATTTGTATCTTAAAAAAAACGATCGGCAACCCCAATGGTCACGTCATCTAGATTGCGGTTTGCTGGTACACGGAGGGCGAGCGTACGAGGAGCGGACTTATGCTCACTAGGTTGGAGGAGCAGGAGATAAGCGCGGCACACCTCAGCGTGCTAAGCTCACGTCATCGCTTATCATGTGGCCATTACTTTACTGCCTCACTACACATCATGTAGCCATTACTGCCTCACTACACATCATGTGGCCATTACTGCCTCACTACACATCATGTGACCATTACTGCCTCACTGCACATCATGTGGAATGTTTACTAGCGCTTCAGCTATTTAGCTATCACGCACCGAAAGTCAGGATGAACATCACCATAGAGGTGGAAGGTCTCAATTATTCATCACCCACAAGGGGCGGAAGGTCTCAGATGTCCAGCCCGCTGAAGCTGGCTCGAAGGAAGCAGCGTTAGCATCTCAAAGAGACAAGTGACAAGGAGGGAGAGGTGAAAAGCAACAGAAACGAAGACACTCGAACAAGAGGTCGCTTACACGGGACGTCGGCCGCCCGCACGAGAGAGACAGAGAAGGGAAATGTAAGGAATCCTACCTACATAATAACTTAACCCCACAACTGAGACCTACCGTCAGATACCGCGAGCTCAGCGGTGGGGCGCTCAGGAACAATCCCCCTATAGGAACGCGAAATCCCATAGGACTTCTGACGCGCACAGACACGCCTCAGAAGTCCCCCTTGAGGGGTATCACCCAGGCAAATGAATCAAACCAGTATAAAGATTGTGATATTTCATTCATTACCACAATCATTTATACCAAATTAATCCAACTAACGTTTCTCGACCTTGAGGAGAGACCTTAAGAAGTGAGGAATGATTGCGCAATCACCTACAGTTTAACAAAAACTAATTACAATGAAAACAATTCGTTTTAAATTCTCAGCAATCAATCGCATGATTCAGGCTATTCCCGGAAAATGAACTTGCTCGTAAAATTCTCTGCATAACTAGAAAAACGAAACTGCACTGCAAAATTAGAGCAAAAACTTGCTATCTGTCATTCTCGGCATGTTTATTGCTCATTAGGAGAGAAGACACGCAAGACTGATGACGTCCGTGGCGTGACAGATATAATATATCCAGGCAACAAGATGCAACGCATGCCAATTCATGCTTAAGTAGAAACCATGCTAAAGTAGAAACCATCAAAGTTGCCTGTTCCCTGATGCGACCGTAAAAGCTTCAATTCACGTCATCTAAGACTAAGAAACCTCAGAATATGATATATTCGAGAACAGGTACATGACGTGCGCGCGCGTCGACACGCCACGGACCAGCAGAGTGAAAGATTTGCAAAGTGACACTCAAGGCCTGGCACGTCATGACGACGTCAGAACTGCTCTGACGCACGACGATCGCGCGTGCGTCCAGGCCGACCATGCATGATATAAACGCAAATTCGTTCCTTTGCAACTAACGAACATGAACTTAATTTACCTTCATCGCCACTGACAAAAAAGGTACGATACAAACGCGATACACGAGAGCAAGTCCTCTAACGCAGCCAGGAAGATGCAAGCACTGCCCTTAGTTTTCATTAAAGTGAATTTTTGTCATAAGCTGGAATTATAGGAAATTTAAATAATTTCGTGCACTCCTGAGGCCAACGTTATTATGTCGCCGACTGTACTCGTAATGTCGGGGTGGGAACTCTTCTTCTGCATTAGCGATAAATAATAATAATAATAGTGTGCCTTCTCTCCTAAGGCAGACATAGACAGCTTTTATGACAGACGTAGACATACTCTCCTATGACAGCTCAGCATCGTGCGTAAGTTGTTGTCCACACGACAGACACAGTCGTGTGCGTCAGGAAAGCTTTGACACTTGCGTCAGGAAAGCTTTGACACGTAAAGAATTTTTTGTGTGTGCGGTGCCAGGGCCTAGAAGAGGGGCGTGTAAAATGCCCGCTACATCCCGTAACTGGCGGTCACGGTGGCCACGCCAGAGCTGATGGTCACGCTGGACAGGTCACAGGTGCGCTTCATTCGTCACTCATTTGTACGAGCTGTTCAGCGCTGAATGTTTGGTATGTCTCTGGATCTGAGATATCGAATCCTGAACTGACTCAAAAGCTAACTGATTCATAACCTAATGATCGAAATACAGACGTCACATATTACTTACAGACGAGAAGCTGGCAGTTCAGAACGCAGGAATGCCTTTATAAATCGGAAACGGAACAAAGACTTCAGCATTTAGGCAGCCATCGGAAAGCGGAGCGCTGAACTTGGAGTGAAGCGGCAGTGAAGAAGAGAGTGCAGCTGAGCAGGCATGTAAGCGAGTCACCTGTTGTGGACGGCCGCCCCTCCCTCCCCCCATCTGCGCTCGTCTCCATCCAGTTGTTCATTGGAGCGACAATTCGACGACATACTTCAGTGGCATATCAGGAACTAACTTTTTTATTCGTCATCACAACTAATATTGGTCAAATTTAACGGCTTTTTTACAAACTCCATAAGTACGATAAACTTAACACGACTGTACGTACACGCGTTATCTCTATAGTCTAGAGCATTAAAGGTGCTTGTACACGGGGATAGTACAGACGGCTAGTAGATCTGGCAAGTGTCGGTCGCTTGGTTACTATCCGGCTAGCAAGCCTGTACAGTACACACAGGATAGTATAAAGTGCCGCTACACAAGGATAGTATAAACTATAAAGTACCGCTATCTTCTCGTTCGCGCCCGCCACCGCCAGTGCGTCGTTAGAAGCCGTCGAGTGAGGTCTGCGAAGATAGATAGTGGGATTACCTTCAACAACCCGAGTCTGTACGTCGTTTTTATATTCTTTATTCAAAGCATTAAAAATGCAGCGTCGGGAACCACTAAACCCTGACTAATAAGGTCTTCTTTCCGTTTCAAAATACTCGTTTCTCTCATTTTGTTGGAGTAACCATTATGGCAAACATTATACTTTAACTCATATTTTTTAAATATTTTAAAGAATAATTGAATATCGTCTGGTATCCACTTTGTTGAGTTCTCCTTAGAAACATTATCGTTCAAACGAGCTTTGATTCACTTGAACAAAGATACTTCACAAGAGCGGCACAGATTCTCTCACCATGGCTGCATCAGCGCTACTAGCCACTTCTTCAGCCGAGGGAGTTCAAACTTCAGAGGTGGAACTTAATGCAGTAATTTGCAGTAAGCCAGAAAATACCAGAAAAATACCAGATTTAGGCAAATATACCAGATCTAAAATATTCATACCAGACACCTTCTAAAAATACCAGATTTGTGAAATTTGGTATAGAGATATACCATCTGGCAACGCTGCTTCAGCGCAGCAATCAACACATCGTTGTCCCTCTCTGCCGCGTCTCGGGCACTTGCCGGCGCACGCCTCTGAAGCGGCTGAACCCCTATGCACGAGGCTGGTAGCGTGGACAGTTCAAGCGGCGGATGAACTAGCGGCTAGTACTATCCCTGTGTACAGGCACCTTAAGGTGCTTGTACACGGGGACAGTGCAGGCAGGGGAGCGCAGCCGTGGGTAACAAAATTGACTCGTAAACAGGCCCTGGGCCCAACGCCAACCATCAGCATGCAATATCTACACATAGCCTCAGATCAATGAGCTGTGTGTAAGTGACTCATATCACCACACCAACTTTAACAGCGCTGCTTTACTCCACAAATCACTACATCCAATAGTCAATGGTAATCTGGCTCTGCTCAACAGATTTTTACTCCACACCATCCCTTCTTACTCGTGCCGTAAGTCTTAACAGCCGCAGACCACTTCGGCTAACAGTAAATCCGCTTTGCACAACACAGCCACTGCACAACGCCTTACGTTAGGTTAGGAGTAGGGCCGGGGTAAGGCGTTGTAGGTAGGGCCTGCTGCGCTCTGGCCAGTTGTGTTCCGGCGCTGTGAAACAGTGCCTGTGACTGAACGGCGCTGTTGTGGTGGGCGCTCTGTGTCGAAAGCCGTGAAGATTCCCGGCTGCTTGAAGTACAGCCACGCGGCAGTTTGGCGCTTTGACCACGGCTGTTGTTGCAATGGCTTGATGCTATTTGGCCTATTTACTCACTTCCATGAAGGGAAATGGCCACTATGGCTTTAGGCACGTTATAGTGCAGGTTACTATGCCCTCAGGCATGATTACGCTCGGGAAGCCGGGGAAGGTATATGAATCGCACTGTGGACTTGGGCTATGCTGACCTCTAGCTATCCACCCGCAGGCAGCAAGTAGATCTGGCAAATATCGGGCGATTGGTGACTATCCGACAAGTAAGCCTGTACACGGGGACAGCATAGAGGCCGGTCCACACGCTCAGGCTTACACAACCATTTGTCTACGCAGTTTTCAGTCGGAATGAAATCTTTG